GGGGGGGAGCGGGGAGGCGGGGAGAAATGAGCTGACACCAGGGCTCAAGTGGAAAGCAGGTGTCATAAGAATGATGAAGTCAGAAGAAAAAAAAAAGAATGATGAAGTCAACATATGTACTAATGTGCTGGACACAGATGACGTATGTACAGATTGTGATGAGTTGTATGAACCTCTAATAAAATGATTATTTAATAAAAAAAAAAGGAATGCATTTCACCACACATGCTATTTGCCCTACAACTTATATTCCCTGGAAGTCAAGTTTATCATTTGTATGCGTTCACACACAAAGACCCGTATATATCGTTAATGCATAACAGTATATTTTAAAATTATAGATAGTAATATATAATTCTATAAATATATAAAATGTATGGTCCTATAACAGTTTCAAATATTTTGAGTATTATTTCTGGGTCTATGCTTCAAGTTAGGTGAATCTCATAAAAGTTATAATGAAATAACTTGAAGTGCAATAGTTGTAAGTGAATACATACTTTGTGAGAACAGTTACATGAAGTTCTAAAATATGGTCATTTAAGTGATACGTTATTTGATAATGTGCATACATAGTAAAATTATTACAAGGACCTAAGACATAATAATATGCATTCCAGAATAAGGGAGAAGGAATCATCAGGGAGGCTTCCAGAGTAAAAGTAATGTTCCAATGCCTAAATTGAGTGTAAATACAAAGATGATCATCTTATAAATCCCCAAATCGTCTATCTGTGATACACTTATTTGTGTGAATTGTTTCATTAAAAATCTATTCTTTGAAAGGAGGAACCGATTACAAGGATCTACATATAACCTCCTCCCTGGGGGACGGACAACAGAAAAGTGGGGCAAGGGAGATGTTGAACAGTGTAAGACATGACAAAATAATAATAATTTATAAATTATCAAGGGTTCATGAGGGAGGGGGAACGGGGAGGGAAGGGGAAAATGAGGAGCCAATACCAAGGGCTCAAGTAGAAAGCAAATGTTTTGAGAATGATGAGGGCAACAAATGTAGCAATGGATGTATGTATGGATTGTGGTAAGAGTTATATGAGCCCCCAATAAAATGATTTAAAAAAATAAAAATAAAAACCTAGACAAAGAAAAAAAATCTATTCTTAGTTACAGCTACCTAGTCCTCCTGCTTCAGAGGAAAGAATTGGGGAATCTCATAGCCCTCAAGTGTACAATGGGGTGGAGCAAAAAAAAAACATATATATCTGACTATTAACACCAGATATGGAAGGATTTCATAGATTACTTTTTATTTATGGATGAGTATAGCAGGGTTCTTAATTGTAAACAAGTTTACATACAAAGGGGTTTATTAAGCTACACAGATAATTCACAAAATTATTGGGAAAATGGAAAGAAACAGACACCAGACCAAGTTCCCAGGAATGACTCTCGAAGCCACGCTGTATGGCAGGACACTGCTTTACTTAGCAAGCAGGCACAAAATGAACATGAAAGCGGCTATAATTTTCAGCTTTAGAGCACAGTTGTATTTGCCACGACTTATACCATCGGAATTGGATTTCTACCTTTCTCAGAAATATCTGTTGCAAACCAAAATCCCAATCAAATAATCTGATTGGCAGACTGAATCATAACCAGACCCTAACTGCAGGAAAATCTAGAAAACGGCATGTTTAGCTTTCCAGCCTCAACAGTACAAGACCTCTCTAAAGGGTTGAGAGGCACCGGTGTCACTTTGAGGACTGAGATGCACCTGACCCAATGTCCAAGAGGAAGCATGTTGTCTTCTGATTAGCCATCAACCCCTCATGAATCCAAGCGGGGACTGGAGTCACTGTGGTCGCTCAGTTCTTGCTCTGCCTTGTTTGGGAGAGGTGAACAGGTGAGTGTCTAGTGGTTATGTCACTTTAAATCAGTGTCTGAAGGATAGATTACTTAATAAACTGAAGCTGGGAACCATGGGAAGTGGAGAGAATCCAGTTATTCAAGTAAAACCTTGCCCCAGATCATATTTCAAAAGGACTCCTCAAATATCTTAAAGAGACAATACTAGAAAACAAATGCAAAACACAAAAAGCGCTGTAAGGAAATAGAGGCTCTGATTCTGGGGTAACCTAAAGGCTTTTCTAAAGAAACAACCAGGAAAATATGTGCCTACTTAAAAATTAGAAATGTCTGAACCTCAAAAACACTGGCTAAAATTAAGAAGAAATTCTTTAGTGCTGCAGGTAGGAAGCAGAAGTGGGAATCAGGGTCCCTATTCAAGACGGAGCCAGGGCTTGGGATTCTTTTCCAATGAATAGGAAAAGTTGCTTGGGGGGAGGGGGAGATAGAAGAAAACCAGAGGCAAGATCATTCAAATGCTGATTAGGTATATTTGCTTTCAAGATTAATCACTCAATAAATTTAATCCAGAATCAAGATTAAAGTGACTGCAGCTTCTTATCCTCTTGCACATTATGCATGAGCATAAACAAAAAAGAATTTAAAGTTATCTGAAAATAATACATTTTTTTAATCATTTTATTGGGGACTCATACAATTCTTATCGCAATCCATGCATACATCCATTGTGTCAAGCACATTTGTACTTTTTTTTTAAATAATCATTTTATTAGGGGCTCATACAACTCATCACAATCTGTACAAACGTCATCTGTGTCCAGCACTTTAGTACATATGTTGACTTCATCATTCTTACGACACCCACTTTCCACTTGAGCCCCTGGTTTCAACTCATTTTTCCCTCTCCCTCCCGAAAATAATACATTTTGTTTCGGTGTCAAGACAATACACCAAAAGGGAAAAATACACTTATTTGCCTCCCCGTCGGGGAATCGAACCCCGGTCTCCCGCGTGACAGGCGGGGATACTCACCACTATACTAACGAGGACGGCGGCAAGCAAGCTCGTAAAATGAGTCTCTAAGAAGAGACTACTAAACTGTCAGTTCAACTTAATCTGAAAAATTTTTTGGTTGACAAAATTGTACCTGTTAAGATCTAAACTAGTGTATTCCAATAGAAACATAATGCTAACCTCATATGTAGTTTTTTTCATATGTAATTCTTGTGTCTAGTGGTCACATTTAAAAACTAACCTGTAAGAATTTTAATAAAAATTCTTAACCGAATATAACCAATAAATTATTACTGCAGCAGGTATACTACATAAAAATATTACTAATTAGATGTCATTTTATCTGTATTTAGTCTTCACATTTTGATAGGTCTGTTACACAGAGAGCACTTTCAAAAGGGACGTTACCTTTTCATTGAAAATACTTTATTCTGTATTTAGATTTCATAAAATGTCCAGTTGGAAATGAAGAGTCCCATAGCCAAGTTGTTCCAAATGTAATTAAACATTTCCAACACTGAACGAATTTTCAATTAATGAAAGTTAAATAAATTTGAAAATGCAGTTCCTCCTCAGGCGCACTGACTACATTTCAGTGGCTCAAGGCTCCAGGGTTAACCTCGCAAATACGCGTATGGACGACGGGGTTCCTAACCAGGAATCCCGGAACCCAATTGCCCCCAGAGACTTCTCCAGAGGCAAGTTTAAAAGAAGGGAGGATTAACCTTAGGGTTACAATCTCGTCAGAACTTGGCTGTACAGAGAAGGAGGTCCGGGAGCCAAAAATGACTAAGGTGTCTCGCAGGTCAAGATGCCCCGTAAACCTCAATTGGAAAATCAAAAATCACTTGCGTTGGCCGGGAATCGAACCCGGGTCAACTGCTTGGAAGGCAGCTATGCTCACCACTATACCACCAACGCCTCTGACTGATTAAGCTTGAATTTGTCAATATAAGATAAGGAGAATCCTTGCATTTCCCATTGTGAATAGTGTTTTATGTGTGTGGCTCTGAAATAAGTTGAAATATGTGCTAGTTCTAGATAAATCCTATCTTTATTTGTCTACGTGCAGCATACTTAGCTGGCCTCTCCTGCCAACGGCACCAGAGCCAGAAAGCGCCGGCGCCAGGGAGGGGCCCGCGAGGCGATACCGCGCCGAGCCCGGGCTCCCTCCGCAGCCGGGGTCTCCTCCGCGCCTTTTCTTGGCGCCCCGCCTATTTAGCTGCTCAGCTGCACCCGCGCCCTGACACCCGCTGGGCTGGATTCTGAGTCCAAAGGAGGTCGATTCCCGAGGGGCCAACGCTTGGGTGGCTCCGTTACTTTTGAGCAAGAAAAGGTTTATGGTTTAGGATATTAAGGAAGCAGGAAATATAAGCAGGGTCTCAATTAGCTTTAATTTCTGTGTTTTCCGAAGGAGTCCGAGGAAATTTCAGATTTTGTTGGGAATAATAATAAACTAAAACTTCAATCGTAGACATAGCAGAGAAAGATATTAGAACCAGAGAACAGCGTTCTGTCAGTGTCAGGATGGCCGAGCGGTCTAAGGCGCTGCGTTCAGGTCGCAGTCTCCCCTGGAGGCGTGGGTTCGAATCCCACTTCTGACAGTGCTGGTTCATTTTGCTTACTTATTTTCCCTTTTGCTTTCAAGCTTCTAAGCCAACGCGTAGATAGGATTTCACTAATGAGGAAAGGAATATTAGTTGATCAACACTAATTTTTTATTCAGCACTATTTTTTATCTAACGTACCTACATATGCTAAAATAATGTATGTATCCCTGTGAACTCGATTTGTTGTGTTTATCTGCTATTGGCAGAAGATTGGACTATGAAGTCAGATAACTGTTGAGATGAAGATCTATCCCTAACTATGCAAAGATAGATACAGATATAGATATAACTTTGTTTCTCTAACACTAGATTTTCAGTGCCTATCTATTTCTTCATTTGTCAACAATGTATTAAGTCTTTAGTGCGTGTCAAGCACAGTAAGGTCTGAGCAACTACACAGAATGTGTTTTTCTTTGTATGTATTTTATTCCACAAAGGGGAAGATAAATTTTAAGTATACATAAATAAACAAAAACAAAAATTGTAATAGGTTATTAACATATATATAGAAAGAGCACGCCTTAAAAATCCTTCAGAAAAAGAAATATCCTTCTGATTCCTTTCCTCTCAGACCTAAATGCTGGTCTGAGGGGCTATATAAGGAGGAAAAGTAACAGTGAATCTGACTCAAATTCTTTTGTGACACAAGTTAGTTTTTAAAGAATCAACCAATCACTCATAGCTGAATTACAATACTACCAGAGAAACAAAATATTTATGCAAAGAAAATTATAAAACACTTCTACAAGAAACCGAAAGTGACTTACACAAATGGAAGGCTGTTCAATACTCCTGCATAGGAAGACTTACTAAAGTGAAATGTCCATACGACCAAAAGCACTTTATAAATTCAATGTAAATCCCAGCACAATTCTTCAAAGAAACTGAAAACCTAATCAGCACCTTTTATGGAAAGGAAAGAAACCAAGGATAAACAAAACACTATTGAAAAGCAAAAACAAAATAGTAAGCCTTTCACTCCAAAATTTCAAAACCTATTATATAGCCATGGTTATCCAAACAGCTTGGTATTGGTACATCAATAAACATTCAGATCAATGAACTAGAACTGGTTTCTTATAGAAGTGTTTTATAATTTTCTTTGCATAAGTCTTTTGTTACTCTGGTAAGATTCCTAAATATTTTCCCTTTTGAGTAGTTATTGTAAATGGTATTCTTTTAATTTTTTTAGTATTATCATCTTTAATATACAAAAATACAAGTACATTGATCTTACAGCCTGTTACATTGCTAAATTTCTCAATTAGTTCCAGTAATTTTTTAATTGGATCTTTGGAGTTTTCTGTATATAGGATTAAATCATCTGCAGATAAAGAGAGTTTTGTTTCTTCTGTGCCAATGTGGATGCCTTCAATATCATCTTGATGTCCTATAGCTCTGGATAAGACTTCTAGGACTATATTAAATAAGAGTGGCTATAACGGGAAGTCCTGTCTGGTTCCCATTCAAAGAGGAAATGTTTTCCATTTCTGTCCATTAAGTGAGATGCTGGCCATTGCTAAGGAGTTTCTTTTCTATTCCTATTTTACTGAGTGTTTTTATCAAGAATGGATGTTGAATTTTATGAAATGCCTTTCTGCATCGATTGAGATAATCATATGAGTCTTTTCCTTTGTTTTGTTGTGAGTGATTGTTAATTGTGATTGACATCCTGCTGGGTATAAAAGGAGCCATCTCAGAAACAGAATGTGGGGGTTTCACTACCAGCAAAAGGTGGGATATTTCACTACGAAGGGTGGAGCATGTCCTTTATACTCCGAGACCCCTTATACATTGAATCACCTTGATCCTGGAGACAGCTGTGACACCGGAGGAGTGGCAGAGTAGCAGCCGCAACAACCACAGCAGAACCAAGAGCCAGAGCATGGGCTCGAGTGGCGGGCTTCCCAACCCACAGAGCAAGTAAAGCTGAGTGGTCAAGGCACTTGATTGGGGGCATCTGGGTTTTTCTGACCCACGGAGCTGGAGTTGAGTGACTTTGGATTGAAGTTTACAGTGGAATAGCATGGCCTTTGGACATTTATTGGCAGCCCTGAAAGAGCTTTGTAACATTCTCTGAGCAGGGCAGAAGTCCTTTTTCACAACAGCTAATTATTGTAACTGCCATCAATCAATGGGTTATACATCTGTAAAAAGTTGAAGTGGCAAAGCTGTGATAGATGCCTTCACAACATAAAGAAAGAGTGGTTGCTGAGGCTGCTTAACCAAACACCTCGTGAGGTTTGGTCCCATGTCTGGGGGGTTTAGGGTCACGATTTCATGGGCCATCCTAGTTAACTGGCCTGAAAAATGGTCAGTGTTTCTGTTCTGCCTCCTAGTTTATTACGTAGTACCGTGGGTCTTAAAAGCTTGCAAACATTTATCCAAGATACACACTTGACCTCTTCTCACCTGGAACAACAGGAAAAAGGAGGAGGATAGGGAATTGTGGCTAATTACCTTGATGAATACTGAGTCCTCCTTTGTTGTGAGACCAAAACTAGATAGTGCCCAGATACCATTACTAAACATTTTGATCAAAGACTATATAGAATAATCCTAATCAAAAAGGAGGAAATGCAGAGCAGAAGATCAAATTCTCATGGACGCTAGACTTTCTCCAGCCCTAGAGACTAGATGAACCTTTGAAATCTTTCAACTTTAAACCAAAAATACCCCCTGAAGTCTTCTCAAAACTAAACAATAGCCCAGCTTAACTAGCAAAAATGAAAGGTCTGCCTTGAGCATTATGCTCTCTTAAGAACTATCTATTAGAATTGGTGGAACCCCTAAGACTATGACGGCCCTTAATTATCCTCCAGGTCTAGAAGCAGACTCTCGCACATGGCTCAATTTTCAGCCAGACGATCGGTCTATAATGGGAACAGTGACACTCGGAGGTAGACACACCTTAGAATAACCAACCATTTAAGATCAAAATGGCAGCATTTACCCAAGGACAAGTTCAAAAGAGTTAGAAAAAGAGAGCTGAAAGCAGAACACACAAAGGAAGTGGGATGAATGATGGTCCATTGTGGGGATTGTAGTCAATGAGATGACACAAGCGTGTTGAATGGAAACCTGATCTTCTCTGTAAGTGCATGAAAAGTTTTTTGGTTTTTCTTTTTTATTTCGGATCAACTTGACACCAACTCAGATGATGAGAGGGCAGGGAGTGACTGTTCCTGTTGGAAGAACAACTCAGAAAAGGAGAGTGAGGAGAGGTGCACAACCTGAAGTGTGGAAACAGTGTCATTAGCTTGTATAGAGAGAAATCGTCGAGTTGGTGTATGTTTGCAGAGCATGTTTTCAACAATAACAAAATGAAAGCACTTTGGTTTGCACAAAAAGATCTAGATCAGGACAAGTGAGGGATAAGAAGCATGCGAGTAGGAAACAAGCAGCCATCTAGCTCAGAAGCATCAAAGCCCACATGGAAGAAGCTCACCAACCTGTGCAATCACAAGGTGCCAAAGGGATCAGGTATCAGGCATCATCAGAACAAAAAATCTTACCTTAGTGAATAAGGTGGGGGAGTGCGGAATGGAGACCCAAAGCCCATTTGAAGGCCACTGGACATCCCCTTACAGAAGGGAATAGGGGAGGAGACGAGCCAGGCAGGGTGTGATGTAGCAACGATGAAACATACAACTTTCCTCTAGTTCCTACATGCTTCCTTCCCGCCACCACCACCACCACCACTACCATGATCCAAATTCTACCTTGCAAGTCTGGCTGGACCAGAGGATGTACACTGGTACAGATAGGAACTGGAAACACAGGGAATCCAGGG